GTCAATTTTGATAAGGAGCATTTCAGGCAGTGACCGACATATCTCGGCACCCCCATTAAATGTACACATGACCATTTAGGTCATTTATTCATATGTTTTATTCTGTGGCGCATATGAATAATATCGCTTACCATTATAAGCGAACATAGCATAATCATTGTGAGCTTGCTAATAAAGTATGATGCGCGTGAGGAAACGACGAACTGCACAAATGCACATAATATATGACAGTCCATATTATTTCATTATTGGCCAATTAGAAAACTACAATTTAGATGCATTCGTGACTTTATTACTGATTATTTCCAGGTGGCTGAAGCTTTTGAGTTAGTTCTCATTCCACCAGTCTCATCAGCGTTACAGTGTCTATGGAGACTAGAAGACACGCAAGTTGCTGCAAACACCACAGTAAGTCCAGTACAATTGTTATCGATCATCGCGTTGACCGTATAGTTCAAAGCGACGAGGGCTCTAGCTAGCGGCGTGGTTCTATGCGAGTGTAACTACAAACAAACAAACGCACGTTTCAATTACACCTTCTATCATTTTCAGGTATTATTTTTGGGATTATTCGTTTCAAGTGTGATATGGGGACAACTAGCAGATGTATATGGAAGAAGGCCGGTGAGTACAGTGCCTAATTAAAATTTAATAATTGGTGTGGGAAAAAACATACATTCAATCTGTCGATGCCATTGACACGGTTAATAATAATAAATAATATGAAAATAATTCTTTTTTTTTTTTTTTTTTTTTGCAGACAGCGATATTGGCTCTGTCCCTGGGTGGATATTACGGCCTCTTGTCGTCGCTTGTGACGAGTTATACGTGGTATCTGATACTTCGGTTTTTGCTCGGGGTTGCCATGGGCGGCATCCCTCTTGGATTCGCTTATATCACAGAGTTTATTCCCATAGAATACCGTGGGAATGTGTTACTTGTATTTTGGGTGAGCAGTTTTAGTTTGTTTGTTTGTTTGTTTTTCGTCACTATGTTAGCCATGAGCCTTTGCGTTTTAGCGGGTGTTGTTATCTGCGTAAACGTGTCTGTAATACTACAATCATGGACGTACTAGAGATGGACGCTGCATTGTCTTTCTATTGTACTCATCTTAAATTTATGAATAGGCAGACGTACTTTCATCTTGGCTGAGTACGTCCATGCTACAATAAAGCCATGCTCATACATTCTACATGCTTAAGACTTACATATTTGAGATGTTTCTGACATTCTTCGCCGTTTCTGTGCAAATTTATAACAAAAGAAACATTTTTTTTTTATTCGCCCAACTTTCGAAAGTAAAAGGAAACCCCTGAACGGTCACAAGCGTAAGCGCTGGCGCCAGGTAACCAAGGGAAATAGAACAAGCAACGAGAAAGTGATGGATCAATTAGTATGCCGGATTCGTTACTCGTTACCGGCCTCTTGTGGCTTGGTTCGCCATGACACTTGAGGCGGGAACCAGCCAACAGTGACTACGTCGCTTTAATCACCTGACCTGTGTTCTTCATATATAGGCAAGTTACAGTACAGGTGCTTTGTTACAAGCTGTATTAGACTACGTGGTAATGCCAACGCTGGGTTGGAGATGGTTACTCGTTATATCAAGTTTCCCGTTTATCATTGCTGCTCTTGGATTACTGGTAAGACTGAACGTACTAATACC